GCCCAGGTCTATAAACAATCTGGATTGTAACCCAACCCAAGTCTACTTTTCTACTACTCCAGCCCAAACCCCACACCCATTTTTATTGCCTCTAACGGCTCATCCAAAATTTCAAATTCAAAATCCCACCTCTCCTGTTTCTCCTTCTATGCAAATTTTGTGTGGGATCTTCTCTCCCTCTGTTTTCTTCAATGGCAACGTCAAACACCTATATCGCAACAACCACCCCTTCGAAAACTCCCATGGAGAAATCTAAGAGGCACCACCATCAACAAGATTCCTCGTCTTCGTCCCGTTTCGAGGCATACAATCGGCTGCAGGCAGCGGCGGTGGCCTTCGGTGAGAAGCTCCCTATCCCTGAGATCGTCGCCCTTGGTGGTCAATCTGACGGCAAGAGCTCCCTCCTGGAGGCTCTCCTTGGGTTCCGCTTTAATGTTCGGGAGGTCGAAATGGGTACTCGTAGACCCCTCGTTCTCCAGATGGTCCATGATCCTACTGCTCTAGAGCCTCGTTGCCGTTTTCAGGTCAGCACGGAATTAATTCTTACTATTTCATGTGTTTTTCTACCTAATTTTCATTATATGGTTTTCTGTTGATTTGGTTATGGACTCATGGGGTTTACTGGATTTCAAGATATCTATGGGTTTATTGGATAAACGGACTAAATAATTTTTAGGGTTTATTAGATTCATTTCTCCAATTGAGCCCCTTTTTTTTATCTCTCTGGATCGGTAGAGTTTGTTCTAGTTTCATGTTGTGTGCTTTCATTTATTCTGTGATTGAAGGATTCAGTGGGGTTTGATAAAATAAGACAATTTGCTGAAATTTGAAACAGGAAGAAGATTCAGAGGAATATGGAAGTCCTGTGGTATTGGCTTCTGCAATTGCGGATATTATAAAGTCAAGGACCGAGGCACTTTTGAAAAAGACTAAAACTGCAGTTTCTTCAAAGCCAATTGTAATGAGGGCTGAGTATGCACATTGCCCTAATCTCACCATTATTGACACCCCAGGTTTTGTTCTTAAGGTATGCTGTCTCTTTTTTTTTTTTTAAATGAGGAATTAAGATGGCTCAAACTATGCAGCGTAATATTTGTATTAATGAATTGAGTTTATGCTGGTAATTTTCTTTTCTTGGCAGGCAAAGAAGGGAGAACCAGAGAACACACCTGATGAAATTCTTTCCATGGTGAAGTCACTAGCTAGTCCTCCCCATCGGATTCTTTTGTTCCTTCAACAGAGCAGTGTTGAATGGTGCTCATCGTTGTGGTTGGATGCCATTCGGGAAATTGATCCAACCTTTAGAAGGACAGTAATTGTAGTCTCCAAGTTTGATAATAGGCTCAAGGTATGGATTTTTCTTCTTCTTTCTAAGTAATTTTAAGTTTATTTTGAAGATGATAAGTGATGTAGATGTCAAAATGGATTTGACTGATTACTGCAGGAATTTAGCGACCGATGGGAAGTGGATCGTTATTTGAGTGCAAGTGGATACCTTGGAGAAAACACACGTCCATTTTTTGTTGCATTGCCCAAGGATAGGAGCACCATCTCGAATGATGAATTCCGCGGGCAAATATCTCAGGTGGATGCGGAAGTTTTACGTCATCTACGTGAGGGGGTCAAGGGAGGATTTGATGAAGAGAAATTCAGACCTTATATTGGTTTTAGCTCTTTGAGGGAGTATTTGGAGTCAGAGCTTCAAAGGAGATACAAAGAAGCAGCTCCTGCAACTCTAGCATTGCTTGAGCAGCGGTGCTCTGAAGTTGCCACTGAGCTGGCAAGAATGGACTCCAAGATACAGGCTACCTCAGATGTGGCACATCTTCGAAGATCAGCTATGTTGCACGCAGCTTCACTTAGCAATCATGTGGTGGGTCATCTCTCTAATTGGTTTCTCTTTAATGCATATATAATTGGCTTTATCACATGACATGGGAGTTTAGATTTTGCATTTTAACATTTCTCTTATGCTTATTGAATTACTATCTTTCTGTATTCCAATTGGTTAGTTTTATTTTTAGTCAGATAGCAGCATCACACCTCCCTTTTATTTCTTTGCTAAGGCTTAATTGCAGCAAAAAAGTATTTTATTAACTGGAGTCCTCATACAGGATTTTGATATTCTAATAATCTAACCTTTTTACTTAATATCCTTTTGTTTGGTTTGTTAAAAGGGAGCTTTGATTGACGGAGCAGCAGACCCTGCACCAGAGCAGTGGGGAAAAACAACTGCAGAAGAACAATCAGAAAGCGGAATTGGCAGCTGGCCAGGTGTTAGTGTAGTTATTAAACCACCTAATGCTACTCTTCGGCTCTATGGAGGTGCTGCTTTTGAGAGGGTAATGCATGAATTTCGCTGTGCTGCATATTCCATTGAATGTCCCCCAGTGTCAAGGGAGAAGGTATATTTATTTAAAAGGAAATTAACCTCAAGAATATATAGCTAGACTCCCTGATTAGTGAATTCACAAATAATTTAATATTTCCTTTAACAGGTTGCAAATATATTACTTGCTCATGCTGGCCGAGGTGGGTGTAGAGGAGCAACAGAGGCTGCTGCTGAGATTGCACGTACTGCTGCACGGTCATGGCTTGCTCCTCTGCTTGATACTGCTTGTGATCGGCTTGCATTTGTTTTAGGGAACCTCTTTGACATTGCTCTAGAACGGAACCAGATTCGTGACTCAGAATGTAAGACTCTTGAACTCCCTTTTTTCATTAATTTATACGATAGTTATTTTTGGCTTACTGCAAAGTTTTATGTCAAAAACTTTTAAAAAGAAAACATTTTGCATGGTGGATAATGAAATATGTATCCATAGACATGTTGGAGATGCTTCTCTAAATGAACCTTTATTGCTTTGCTTCTCATTGCATAAATTTGAAGAATGTAACTACCGCAAAAAGGTCATGTGTTTTTTAGAGTGTATATTATTTTCAGTAAACTCTGACATTTGAAATAATATTAGATCTTTTATTCTTTTCATTATATTTCTTGTGGTCTATGTGTCTGGATTCTAAGTTTTAGGAGACCATTGTATTCTTTGAGTGGAGAACTAATGTTTTCACTAAATGAATTAATTCTTTTAATGTACAGGTGGGAACAAAACTGGAAACATGGATGGGTATATTGGTTTCCATGCTGGTTTAAGGCATGCTTACAATCGCTTTGTGAAGGACCTGGCCAAACAGTGCAAGCAACTAGTTCGGCATCATCTTGATTCAGTTACAAGCCCATACTCACAAGTTTGTTATGAGAATGACTTTCTTGGAGGCTTTGGCTCAAGTGTGTCCTCTTATAACAAATTTAACCAAGTCTCAGTGGCTTCTTTTTGTCTTGAGCTATCAGCTGGTGGAGCAGCATCCTGTGATGAAACAATGAGAGATCAGGAGAATATACCCCCTGAACAGAATGCAAAGCAGACAACCCCAGCAAAAGAAACTGAAGCCAAAGCAGCTCTTCGGGAAAGCCAAATGACTGTGCCTGAGACCCCATCTCCAGACCAGCCATGTGACGTAGTATATGCTGGAGCCAAAAAGGAGCATGTAAATTGCAATGAAATGGGACCAAGAAAACGGATAACAAGAATGACAGGCAACAGAAACACTGAACATTTAAGACTTCAAAATGGTGGTACACTTCTATTTGGAAATGGTGATAGTGGTTCAAGATCAGGTTCAGCTTACATGGAAATCTGCTCATTGGCAGCACAGCATTTTGCAAGGATACGAGAGGTTCTTGTTGAACGAAGTGTGACATCAACTCTAAACTCTGGATTTTTGACCCCATGGTAAACCCTTTTTATTCTTCTTGAGTTCAATGTGCTTTATATCTAGCATAGGTGTCTAAAATTGTAGCTTGGTGGGATTTTAAGGCACACTTTTTCAGCTTTATTTGCAAGGGCAAGAGATATCTTTAGCAAAATCCATGATTATTATGGCTATTTCCCTTCTTGGATACTACATCTTTTTTTCATTTGCATATGCATCTGAGTCTCACTTGCTTGAACAATTGGAAGCAGATTCTATAATAAGCCTTAGCTTTGCCCCTCATACACCGTAGACCTTGATAAAAAAAAATCTAATGAAACTACCAGACCAGTTTTTATTTCTCATTAACATTGGTAATTCATGATACTTGCTTGGCAATGGCATGGTGTGTGAACTTATATGTTGGTTTCCAAGTGAATGAACTTATCTTATTATAATGTTGTTGTCTATTTCTTTCTTACTTTGACAAGTTCGCTGATTAAGCTATTTGTTTGTTTCTGCTCTATTTGACTCAGCCGGGACAGACTAGTAGTGGCACTTGGACTAGATTTGTTCGGTGTGAATGATGAGAAATTCATGGACATGTTTGTCGCCCCTGGTGCCATCGATGTGTTGCAGAATGAACGACAATCCTTACAAAAACGTCAGAAGATACTTCAGTCTTGCTTAAACGAGTTCAAGAGTGTTGCTCGAGTACTTTGATTCCAAAAACAGTGATACGAAAAATCTCCAATAAAGGGAAGATCCATCAAATACTTCACATCCTGTGAACAGACTAGATCTTTATTCTTGTAATTGATATAGTAATGATTTCCTCCATTGTTGAGAGTGCATGGACCATGTCCCTTGTAATGCTTCATTTCTAAAATGAGCCCCATATCATCACAACAAACAAATGGCTTGTCATATTGTCCATTATTTTTTCTTGAAAGAATGGGAAGATGCATTTGCAAGGTGTGGATTTGACTCTTCATTGATTAGGTGATGATGCAACTAAGTTGTCCTAACATTTTCTAATTAGAAATCGGACGAGGAAAATGCTTGAAAAACATGAGTAATGTTTTGTTTGATAGTGTTGTATTATGTTGTAGTTATAAGTGTAGGTTTAAAAAAAAAAAAATCTTTTTTTTTATCTTAAAAATATATAAAATATTAATTAAAATTATTAAAAATGTACAAAATATTAATTAAAATTAATTATTTTTGATAAATTTACAATTTAAGATAATATATTGTAAGAAAATATTGTATGTAGTATTTTCAAATAAAATTTAAACACTTATATATATATATTTGAACAATTTAATATAGGATGGGATCGAATTCACTCAAGAAGAAAAAAAGTATACTTATTTAATGTGATTAATGTCATTAGATTCAAAAGATCAAGTGCATTTAAACACTCATATTGAATTCAATTTTTTTTAAAATTGAAATAGAATTTATTAACAAATATTGTACAACCTCTATGTAGGAAAAATAAAATTAATTTTTTTTTTGACCAAGTAGATGGTTAGAAAATTAGTAGAGTTAGTTTGTTAGCAGTTGAAATTTTTTCAGGAAAGTGAACGTTTCACCTTCTTATTTGAGGCGCGCGACTATTAGGTCGCAAGTTGGTGGAGTTCACGGCGATGGTAGAGCTCGAAGCCCTGACCTCCGCCTCACCCAAACCCTAAAGTTTGGGGGCCAACCAATTAGGCCACAGGCCCGGTTGGCGAAAAATAAAATTAATTGATAAATACAAAAACAAAGAATGAAATATTAAGGGTAATGATTTTAGTGACAAAAGATGTTGCAAAGTGGAATTCAAACACTGTCTTATATATTACTCAACTTGATTAAAATTTTGACTTTAGGG